TCCCTAATCGTGTTTCTCCCTATGGACAAGAGCCACACTGAGGTTCCTCATGACCTGGCAGGAAAATACTCAGCTTCTTCGCCTGACTCGTATTCCTGCCTCATTCCCTCGGACAAACCTCATCGCTCCCGTGCTCTTCCTGCTGAGCTCCAATCCCCTGCTCCTCATTCCTGGCTGCACGTGACTGCACGTGAAACTCACCTACCCTGGATCAGACCCTTCTTCCAGAGGTCCTGATCTAATTGGCCTGGTACCTGTGTCAAGAAAGCTCCCCAATGGTTCTAACCCTTAACACCCACCCCAGCCTCTCTGAACTTCTCACCTGTCTCTTTGCATCTTTCTTCTCCCTCCTGCTGCCCTCTCCTGCCTTGTCTGTCCAGCATTCTTTTACCTGCCAGTGCCCAACTCAAGGGCTTGTGGAAGCCAGGCACAGTAGCTCACTCCTGTAATCCCAGCACTTTGGGAGGCGAAGGCGGGTGGATCACCTGAAGTCAGGAGTTCAAGACCAGCCTGCCCAACATGGTGAAACCCCGTCTCTACTAAGAAATACAAATATTAGCCAGGTGTGGTGGTGTGCGCCTATAATCCCAGCTACTCGGGAGGCTGAGGCAGAAGAATCGCTTGAACCTGGGAGGTGCAGGTTGCAATGAGCCAGGATTGTGCCACTGAACTCCACCTGGGCGACAGAGCGAGATTCTGTCTCAAAAACAACAACAAAAACTTTCATACTCCTGTCCTCTGGATGCCACATGTTTGCTCATCACTTCTGTGCCAGCCCTGAGCCTATCGCACCCCAGTGACTGATTGGCTTGTGAATTTGTCTAACACGTTAGACTGTGTTTTATTTATCTTTGTCTTCCCAGCTTCTGACAGTGCCAGGGACAAAACTGTGCTTGGTGACTGTGAAAGTAGAACTCCTGAACAGATGTCCCTTGTTCGTATGGCCAGTCTTCACGTTGCTGAGACCCTCAACTCTCCAGATGTCACCCTTTCTGAAAAGCCCTTGAAGCCATGAACAAGGTCTGCATACTGAAAGTACTTGTTCAAGTCCCCCAGGCTCAGGAGAGGGGAGACAGCAGAGATTGCTCTTGAGGACATGAGATTTGAGGGAAGATCTTCCTCCATCTCCCCAGTCCCCACATATAAATCTCTCCCACTGTGAAAATTGTTATGCCTCAATTTCTACTCTTAGAAAAATCAGTATTTGGAAGAAACATTTTAAAATAATAAGAATGAGGCTGGGCATGGTGGTTCACACCTGTAATCCCCCAGCACTTTGGGAGGCCGAGATGGGCAGATCACTTGAGGTCAGGGGTTCAAGACCAGCCCGGCCAACATAGTGAAACCCCATCTCTACTAAAAATACAAAAAGTATTTGGGCATCCTGGCAGGCACCTATACTCTCAGCTACTTGGGAGGCTGAGGCAGGAGCATTACTTGAACGCAGGAGGTGGAGGTTGCAATGAGCTGAGATGGCACCACTGCACTCCAGCCTGAGGGACAAGAGAGAGACTCCGTCTCAAAAAAAAAAACAACAAAAACCCTAACATTTATTGAATACCACATATCCGTGATACAGGCAATATCTCATTTAATCATCAAAGCCATCCCCATCCCTGGCCCATGATGGACTACTATGTAAGTGAGAAACTTCTCTTCTGCTAACTTATATTGAGTTTGTCTCTTAATGCAGTGAATGATATTTACCCTAATTAGCACATGTAACCTTCCCAAGTTCCTATGTTCATTTAGTGAGTGGTAAAGTCAGGATTGCTTCCTCCGAGGTCTGACTTCAGAGTACACAATCTTCACTAACCCATAGGCTGTACCGCCTTTCCAGAATTCTGTATTAGTCTGTCCTGGTCATTCTAGGACTGGCCCAAGGAAAGGCGGCAGAGGATTTCTGCCCATATCTGTTTCCTCTCCCTTAGTATGTATTGTGTAGTGTGTTATAAGAGCCTGATCTGGGTGTTGCAGAAAATCCACAGATAATTCAAAGATGGTTAAACCAAAAGAGGAGAGTTTCAGGCCTGGGTGGCATTCTGGTGATACGGTTCCCTTTGTGAGACACTATGGGTCTACCTGTCCCCCCAGGAGGCTGGATGGGGCAGAGAAGCCACGGGCCGAGTGAGATCCCACAGCTTCTGGCCCGGCATGCACTCCATGTTGATGGGCCCTGCTGGCTGCATTTTCTCCAGGAGGATAAAACACAGTGGCCGGTCCCCATGAAGCTCCCACTAAACCGAGATCTGAGCCGTCCTCATGACCCATGGGAAGCTGTTCTGTGAGCTTTCTCCAAGTAGTCCTGACACCAGCCAGATTAACCAAGACAGGAAGCAGCTGGACCAAAGGACCCTAAAGACAGAGAAGCTGCCTCCTGCTTCCTGGCCTCCTCCTGAAGGGAAACAGCCCAAACTCAATGGCCCTGGGGAGATGCGGCTGTTCACACGTGCCTCCAGAGGGAAGTGCTCTGGGCCATTTTTGTTGCCAGCTTGCTTAACTAAGTCATCGCTGGCTCTGCTAGTAAGGCCAGGAACCTGGGTTCAAGCGGGCCAGCCCCGCCCCTCTCTTCCTTTCCTTCTACCTGAGGGTGATGGGACCTGTGTATGTACACCTGAGGGTGAGGAGGCCCCAGACTTCCCGGAAAGGGTTTGGAATTGGCCACAGCTGGGCTTGGGTCTGATTCCACCACTTACTTGCTGGGTGATGGTGGCCTTGGATTTCTCATCTCCAAAGTGAAAGAAACTAGGAGCTCATCTGGGGCATGTGTCCAGTCCATTTTTTAAAAGGTTGATGGCCTCCTTGGCTTCCTCCTTCATTTCACCTAGGTGACCACATCAGCTTCCCCTCCCTGTCCTCCACACTGCAGCCACTGCACTTTTTATTTATTTATTTATTATTTATTTTTTGAGACAGAGTCTTGCTCTGTCACCAGGCTGGAGTGCAGGGGCATGATCCCAGCTCACTGCAACCTCTGTCTCCCAGGTTCAAGCAATTCCCCTGCCTCAGCCTCCTGAGTAGCTGAGACTACAGGCGCACGCCAACACACCTGTCTAATTTTTTGTATTTTAGTAGAGATGGGGTTTCACCACGGCCAGGATGATCTCGATCTCCTGAACTCATGATTTGCCCACCTCGGCCTCCCAAAGGGCTGGGATTACAGGCGTGAGCCATTGTGCCCGGCCACAGGCCTTTTTATGAAATTAAAATTTACAGTTTTCTGTTGCTTTTAATGTTGCCTCTTCTGTGCTCCGGCCTAGCCACCCACACCTCTGCGTCCTTGAACCCACGCTGCTCCTCCGCCATGGTCCCTCGGCCTTGGCTGCTCCCTGGGTCTGGAACGTGTTTCCTTCTCTTCATTTGCTTAACTCTGACTTAACCTTCAGAACCCAGCAACTTCTGTGACACCTTCAGTCTGGGCCACCTCCCCAGTCATGTGATTCCACAGCTTTATAAATCTATGTTCTTTGCCACTTACTGCCCTGTCGTTCTGTCGTTTTCATTTCTTTTTTTTTTTTGAGACAGAGTCTCTGTCGCACAGGCTGGAGTGCAGTGGTATGATCTCGGCTCACTGCAACCTCTACCTCCTGGGTTCAAGCAATTCTCCTGCCTCAGCCTCCCGAGTAGCTGAGATTACAGGCATGTGCCACCGTGACCAGCTAATTTTTGTATTTTTAGTAGAGACGGGGTTTCATCATGTTGGCCAGGATGGTCTTGAACTCTTGACCTCAAGTGATCTGCCTGCGTTAGTCTCCCAAAGTGCTGGGATTACAGGCATGTGCCACTGTGCCTGGCCCATTTTCACTTCTTGATGACATGCTTTTCCTGCTGTGTGTCCACTCCTGCTCATAGTTTCGTGAGGCAAGGGCCTATGGGTGTGTAATCACCTCTCTTGCCCAGAACTTAGCCCAGGACCTGGAATGAGGCAAGCTCTCAAGAAAATGTCATTGAATGAATGAAAGGTGAGGATGAACTAAAATATTGCATGCAGAGCCCTTAGCACTGTGCCTCACACCAAGTAAGCACCAATAAATATCAGCAATTAATGATAGTAGTATTCTAACTTTAGGAGTGATGTAAAACAAAAACTATTGAAACCAGCAGTGCTCTTCTTATTGGGTTGTCCCAAGTATCCAAGGTTCGGGGTAAGTTGATGTTGTCTGGAAAGAAATATGAAACACACACACACACACACACACACACACGTCTTCGAATGTGGTGAATGTTCCTCTTTAATTTCTGCGAGCATCTCTCAGAACTAACGTGTGGTTGCAGGGAGGAGCCTGAATGTTCCAGGAGGGCTGGAGGGATCCATCCATGCTTGAGCAGGCTCTGAGGGTCCTCACTGGCCACCCACACCACATGCAGACTGTCCACCTCTGCTCCATGCAGAGAAGGGGCTGCAAATGCAGGCAGAGTTAATTCTAGAATTGGGGAGCACTAAGATATCTCTAACAAAAGCTCCTCCAGGCCGGAATGGTGGCTCATGCCTATAATCCCTGCACTTTGGGAGGCTGAGGTGGGTGGGTCACCTGAGGTCAGGAGTTCGAGACCAGCTGGGCAACATGGTGAAACCCTGTCTCTACTAAAAATACAAAAGTGGCTCACCCCAGTAATCCCAGCACTTTGGGAGGCCGAGGCAGGTGGATTACCTGAGGTTGGGAGTTCAAGACCAGCCTGACCAACATGGAGAAACCCCACCTCTACTAAAAATACAAAATTAGCTGGGTGTGGTGACCCGTGCCTGTAATCCCAGCTACTCGGGAGGCTGAGGCAGGAGAATTGCTTGAACCCAGGAGGCAGAGGTTGCAGTGAGCTGAGATTGCACCATTGCACTGTAGCCTGGCCGACAAGAGCGAGACTCCCATCTCAAAAATAAAAAATAAAATGTGTTCAAAATACCAAAATACCAGCTCAGCCTCCACACCTTTGGGCAGCTCCTCTTTTTTTTCCAGTAACGCTGTTTCCTCATCTCAAAGCATTTCCACACAAGACCAGTGTCCACAGGAGTCTTAGAGACTTTATTTATGTATAAACAATTTAAACACTTTGCCATAAATTATCTTTGCCTGTCCCTAGTCTTTGCTTAGCAGCAAATTAAAATTAATATAAAAACTCGATGAACAATTCATACATGTATATTACAAAAAAGTTCCTGTACCAAAGTTCTTATTAGACTTTTTTTGTTTTTTTTTTTTAATTTTTAAATTTTTTTTTGTTTTTATTTTTATTTTTTAAATTTTCTCTCCTCGTGGTGACTGTCATGTGATTGTCTCAGTTTCTGGACCAAACAAACACACTAATAATTTTAAATCTGAAACAGTGATTGTGCCTTTCGGCTCATGTATGTACAGGGTGATCGGAAGTGGTACCTGTTAGCAAAAGTGTCACGATGCAGCACCTCTACCGAAACTGATACCCACGAACTACGGAATCTAAACAGACTACACCCTGTAACTGCGTATTACTGTCCACAATGGAATCTCCAAAGACAAAAGAGTATGAAATTTATCTGTAGTGATTATAGCCACCATTTTGAATTAAATTTTACACTCTGCGCTCAAATAAATTAGCTCAGGCCAGACTTAGTTGGGACCTGAGAGTTAAGTGCTGGATGGTATTATTTCGCTTTGATTTTTGATAGGAATTCCTTTCTTTCCTTCGTGTTTTTTTTTCTTTAAAAAGTATTTCCAGTGCTCGCTCCTCCTCTTTTATCCCCCCCTCCCAGGCGCTACACACGAATCACCCCCAAAGTCATGTTCTCAATGCACCTGTATTTGCTTAAACGAAAATGTCGGAAGTATCTGTCCCACAGGCAGTCCGAGTGGTTTGTCCCGCAGCTGGTCTGGTGATGCTGGCCCTCGCGGATGTCTACGTGTCGCTCACGTGTGAATGAGTGAGGTAATTGGATATGAGGCCTTCTTTCTCATCTTCGTTTCTTTGTTTTTTGGTCCGTGTGTTTGTTTTGTTTTTGTTTGTTTTCTTCTTTGCTTTTTCGGACACTTTGCGTCTCTTTTCTGCGTAGACCCAGAACAAGTGGGTCATATTTTAGGGGAACTTGGAACATTGTGTGTGTCTGTTCATTCATTCACTTGTTTCGTTTTCCTCGGAATTTTCAGCCGGGCTTTAGTCTACTTCAGGATGAGGGACTTCCAGCTTGGACAGTAGCATTTGAACTCAAAAAATGTGAGCTTTCTTGCCACTTGGTCTCCTAAAGCAGCCCAGCCTCAGTGCCCCTGTTAGGTCTTCATCTCCTTAGGAGAGGAGATAACAGTTACTCCTGCTGAGCCATTCAGACAAGGAATGGCAGCAGATTATTTTGTTACCTCTTTCCCATCTCATTCTGTCTTAAAAACTGGATGTTGCTGCTACTGTCTGCAAGCTCTGGGTATTGCTCCACGGGAAGCACGTAATACCCTTCGTACCCTTGCACGCGCCCAGTGCTCAGGAGCTGCTGCTTCTCGCCCTCAGTCCACAGGCGGCTCCCCTCTCTCCCGTCCCTGGCTTTCTGCTGCTCCTTGGCCCAGGCCGTGCCCAGGGCCCTCTGTCTCGCCTGGTCTAGGACGCGGGCCTTCTCTTCGTCCAGGGTGTCGGGAGTGAGGCCATAGCGGATGCTGAGCAGCAGTGTGGAGTACTGGAACTCAACGTTGGTGAACCTTCGAGTCCTGCCATTGACCAGCAGCGTGGGCTGCGACACGGTCACGTTCACCCCGCTCTCCAGCACCTTGCGGCCGATGGTGGTGCCCAGTGTGACCAGGTCGCCGTCGGCAGAGCCAATCTTCACAAAGTAGTGGGTGTCCTTGCCCTCGATGCTGTAATGCATCTTGTCCAGGTAGTAGGCGTTGTTCAGCACAGATGCCACCTTGCGGCTGTCCTCGCTGGCGATGCTGGACACGCCCGTGGTCACCCGCCCTTCTTTGATGGCGAACATGATACCTTTGCCAATGATGGGCGTGGTGGTGGCAAACCAGTGGCCCGCCTTCTCCCGGATGCTGGAGTGGAGCTTTTTAGTAATGACCTGCCCTTCCAGAGCCATGAAGGCCTGATTATGTCTATCCGTTGTCTGTTGGACACCTGTAATGAGCTGTGGGGATGAGAAAACAGAGAAGGCTGAGAAGATGAAGTGGGCTTTTTTTTTTTTACTCAAAAAGAAAAAAAAAAAAAAAAGTCATAAAGAAAAGAGAAAGGCTTGGAACTCTCCTGGAAGAACTAGTGTCAGTTCTGTCCAGACCTGAACTGATAGAGTCCTACCTTTTGGAACTATGGACGGCTGGTTGATTACCGGTGCTCTGATGATGTGACCTGTCCACCTTGTAACTGCCACTAACTAAAAAAAATGGTGAAGGAGGTTCACCCCTTGCTGGCATCGGCACTTACTGGGTCACGCCACCACTCGGGAAGAGCCCCATTCTGCACTCTGATGGTGAGCAGCTGCCTTGCCTGCTTCAGACCCAGGAATATCCTGGTGCAAAGGGCAGGGTGCTGATTTGAACAGCCATGAACCCCACCACCATAACCTAGACTTCTAGGAGGCCAATGACTCGGATATTCATGAACTTCCTTGGGTTAAGACCTTGCCACTCAAAGTATAGCCAGCAGCAGAGGAATCACTGGGCCCTGTCCTGTTCAAAAAGCAGAATCTCAGGACTTACTCCAGAACTACTGAGTCAGAGGCTGCGTGTGAACAAGATGCCCTGGGTGATATGCGTGCCTATGAACATCTGAGAAGCACCAGGCTGAGAGATTCAGGCTTCAAGGGCCAGAGGGAATATCCCTCGGCTTTGAGGCAGTTGCTTTGGATCCTCGCCCTGGTTCTGCAGGGGATGAAATCACCATTATCTCCTTGGCCTTGAGTTCTCCACTCGCAAATTACAACTTGTCTCAATTGGTGGTCGGGGGACAGGCTGGGATAATGGGGGAGGCTGCGTTTGGGAGGTAACGGCACTTAGATAAATGAGAGAAATGATGGCTATTCATCCACTGAGTGGTCCCCAAGAGGCAGGACTGAGCGAACGCTGTTCTCAATTACCCAGCAGCTCCTCCTTGCCTCTCTATAGTTACACAATCTGGACAATTATTCAGAGCAGCTGAGACCTTTCAGACTTTGATAGTGCTGAGCGCCGGTTCTGTAGCAGGGGTTATCTGAACCCCTCCCATCTGATTGTAGCAGAGGTCTCAGCTGCACCCAGATGGAAACTGACCACCCCTCAGTCATCACAGAAAGACCCAAGCACAAATTATGTTCTGAAAACTCAATCTGTATACGTTTGGCCATAAAGCGCAGAGGTTTTATGTGGGGCATAAAAATGTTCTTTAATGGGACAGAAACTGCAAACCACCAAACCACAGTTTTATGACGTCCCATAAAAGCCAAAAGGGTTATGATCTTATAGGCAGTGCAGATGGCAGGTTGCTGCTAGATTTCTCTGTGCTGTTGTTAATCAAGGAGTGACTCAAGGGTATTCTACTGAACAGATAATGATACCACAATTAAGGCCGTAATCCAGGTTGGGAAGAAATATGTGCTGTGCCAGACAGGTGACAGCACTGACATTCACTTTCCTGGGAAGTCTCAATGTGTCCTGCACCTTTTATACCCAGCTCCAAGGTTTTCCTGCACTGACATGCCCTCAGCTCCCATGAGGTTCTGTTTGCAAAAGGGAATGATGACAATCATTTGGATTCTTGGCAGGAACCTGTGCTTACCTGTCCGTTCTCACTTGCTTGACTCTCTGATAATTCATAGGGAGGAGGCACGAAATACATTTTGGCTCTTGGGAAGCCGGGAATGATGTTGCTAAGCTGAAATCCAAACATCACAAGCCAGCTTTTCACATCTACGGTGGAAACAAAAATAAGGGTTTCTGAAATTATGATGGATGGAGAGCAACAGCGGAGCTTGGAGAGAGAACAAAATAAAATGGGTGGTTGTGTGTAGGGTCCAAAGGGGAGGGAGGAAGAGCTTGTGAATATCTCCTGGGTCCAGACCCAGGGCTTCCATACATGGGTTTTAGGAAGTTTTTCCAAACTTGGTCAGTTGATAACCACCATGTGCTGGTGATTAAGAAGGCCCGTGCTGGAGCGAGATAGGTCTAGCTTCAAATCATCTGGCTCTGTCACCTTGGGCAAGTCCTAACCCCTCTCTGAGCCTCAGGCTCCTCAGATATGAATTGGATAATAATTGTGTCAGTCTCATTGGGTTGTTATGAAGATGAAAGAAGAAAATCCACGTAAAAGGCTTTTTCACAGCGCCTGGCACATGGACAATAAATATCAACTCCTATTTAGCAAGTATTAAAGGGAGCATCTATCACAGGCCACGCAAGTGTGTTTAGAAGCTAGAGATACAAGGATGGACTGGAGGAATAAGTGATGATTATTTGTCGTACAGGCCTTTTGGCTCACCATGGAAAGCGGTTTCCAAAAGATGGACACATACAGAAAACAGAGTCCTCTGGATCCTGAGACCCCTTTCTCCAGCCTTCCTACTTTTCTTTCTTTCTTTTTATTTTTAAGAGACAGTCTCGCTCTGTTGCCCAGGCTGGAGTGCAGTCATGCGATCTTGGCTTACTGCAACCTCTGCCTCCCAGGTTCAAGCGATTCTCCTGCTCAGTCTGAGTATCTGGGATTACAGGCGCGTGCCACCATGCCCGGCTAATTTTGTATTTTTAGTAGAGATGGGGGGGTGGTTTCTTTATGTTGGTCAGCTTGGTCTTGAACTCCCAACTTTAGGTGATCCACCCATCTTGGCCTCCCAAAGTGCTGGGATTATAGGCTTGAGCCACTGTGCCCAGCCAGCCTTCCTACTTTTTTTTTGAGACAGAGTCTCGCTCTGTCACCCAGATGGGGGTGCAGTGGTGCGATCTTGGCTCACTGCAACCTCTGCCTCCCAGGTTCAAGCGATTTTCCTGTCTCAGCCTCCAGAGTAGCTGGGATTGCAGGCACACACCACCATGCCTGGCTAATTTTGTAGTTTTAGTAGAGACAGGGTTTCTCCATGTTGATCAGGCGACTCTCAAACTCCTGAACTCACGTGATCCACCTGCCTCAGCCTTCCAAATTGCTGGGATTACAGGCATGAGCCACTGCGCCTGGCCAGCCTTCCTACTCTTTAAAGAGAAACCAAAAGAGGGCACTGCCTGCTCAGAGTAAGACCACCCGCCAGAGGTCAACATCAAGTTCTTGCATTGGGAATCATGCCACCTGCCCCAAGTGTCTTGACCTCTGCTGAATGGTCCAGGTCCTTAGAATAAGACTCCTTCCACACTGATCAATAGAGAGTCCTGGATGTCTGTGCCTTGAAACACTCACATCTTCACCAACACCACTGGCCTAGAGTCTGGCAGGATGAACCTCCTTATGCTTCTTATCTCTCTTTATAATGGGCATACCCCAAATCATGCCCAACACCCTCCAACCCCTTCCTTTCCTACCCCAGCTTCATCTCTCCTCCCTAGTTCCCTAAATACTTCCAATGGGCCCTCTGCAATTCACATTTGTCTCAGAAGCCACGCCTCCCCCCAACCCCCCACTATGTCTTCAATCTCGTTTCCTTTTTTTTAAATGAATATATAATTTTATTTTATTATTATTATTATTATTTTTTAATTGTACTTTGGGCTCTGGGGTACATGTTTGGTTCCTTTCCCTTTTTACTCTTACTGAAACTCTCTCTGCTAAGATCACTGGTCTCCCTGCTTATTCACCTACAATCATTGGACCCGGGGGCACAAGTGTGCCTGTAATGCAGGAGGCACTCACTTGCATTTCTCAAAGCTTTTAGCTTCTGCGCCACTGTCATTCCCTCCATCTCTTTTCCTGAATTAATGCTTAGTGATTTCATTATACAGGCAGTTGCTCCTTCCAACATTCTGGCCTCTTATTTCCTTGACCTCCTCTCCTTGGATGGTCTTTTCCCCACTCACTCTCGTGTTCATACTCTGGATCCTGTCATTACCAATCATTTTCATCCCTCCATCATCTCAGTTTCATGCATATCGCCCTCTGACCACTGCGTACCCCTTCTTGTAACCGGACACCCTAATCCTTTAATCTCTCCCCACCCAACCCCCTGGACCTCCAATCCATCCCAAACTCCTTTCCCCATCCCTCACCTTCCTAGTTTTTCTTCTCTCCTTATCTAGTGCACAGTCACTGGCATCATTCCCTTGGTGATATTCTCAGATCCCTCGCCCCTTTCTCACCTCCCCACACCTGCTTGGTGAAATCACGATGTTGGTTACATCCAAGTCTTTTCCAAGACTTTGCCTATTCCGTGTTTGCACTTGTGCAGCTGAATGTGGCTGGAGAAAAAAATCATAACCATGCTGACCCATGTCACTTTAAATTCCTCAGCAGGAATGTAAAAGCATGCCTCCCTGCTGCCTGGTGATCTTACTAAGTTCCTTTACTCCATTCAGCTGTCCCCTCATCTTCCTGGACGATTTTATTCCTTTTTATCTCCTAAAACCCCCAATACCTGCTTCTCATTCCTCCCAGTAGCAGCTGATCTTGTCTCCTATTCTGAGATTACTAATGCAGCCAGAGAACCATTTTCCTAAACTCCCATCACATTTGCTGATGGTGATATGGCTACCAGCACTTGTACTCATATTCCCTGCTTTTCCCTCTTACTCTAGATGAGCTGTGCAAGTTCAATCCTCCTGCTGTGTACCTGGTCACACTCTTTCTTGACAACTCAGGGACATCACGCCAGCAATTATCTCTCTCATCCCACTTCACTGATTTGCTCTTTCTTCCAGTAGATCAACCCCCTCAGCATACAGACATGTGCTAAATGTTTAAAAATTTCCCTTCTTACCTCGACCACCCATTTCTTTTTTTTTCTTTTTTCCTTTCTTTCTTTTTTTTTTTTTTTTTTTGAGACAGAGTCTTGCTCTGTTGCCCAGGCTGAAGTGCAGTAGCACTATCTTGGCTCACTGCAACCTCTGCCTTCTGGGTTCAAGAGATTCTCCTGCCTCAGCCTCCACAGTAGCTGGGATTACAGGCGCCTGCCGCCACACCTGGCTAATTTTGTATTTTTAGCAGAGATGGGGTTTCACAACATTGGTCAGGCTGGTCTCGAACTCCTGATCTTGTAATTTGCCCGCCTTGGCCTTCCAAAGTGCTGGGGTTACAGGTGTGAGCCACTGCGCCCAGCCCCTGACCACCCATTTCTAATTCCTTTTTGCAAAAACTCCTCAAAAGCAAACTAATTTTCTGTTCTCATTTTCTCTCATTCTTCTCCTTTGTATCAGGCTTTTGCCTCCACGACGTCCCTGAAACTACCCTTGTCAAGGTCATGTGTGACCTTTGTTTGCCAAGCCCGATGTTGCTCTTGGTTCTCATCCTGTTTGGCCTATCAGAAGTGTTTGACAAGGGGGAACTCTCCTGCCTTGCTTTTTTCTTTGCTTTCTGGACAGTACATTCTCTTGTTTTTGCTTCTCCCACATAAGTCACTGCCCTCTGGTTCCTCTTCATCTCCTTGATCTCTTAATGTTGGGATGCCCCAGACTCAGTCAGTCCATGAGCTTCTTCCTCAACTGTCTCCACTCAGCAGTCATGGTGATCTTAGCCAGGCTTAGACACCAAATGTCATCTACATGCAGATGCTGTCTCCAGAATTCGTATTTCCAGTCTGGACCTCTTCCTGAACTCTGAACTTTTACAGCTAATTACATTTCAAATTTAACATGTCCAGAACTGAACTCCTGATCTTCCTCCCCAAACCTGCCCCACCCACAGTCTTCTCCATCTTGGGTAATGATAACCCCATCCTTCCAGCTGTCATCCTTGACTCCTATCTTTTTTCCACCCCCACATCTAATCCATTAGTAAATAGTTTTCTTTTCTTTTCTTCTTTTTTTTTGAGATGGAGTCTTGCTCTGTCACCCAGGCTGGAGTGCAGTGGCATGATCTTGGCTCACTGCAACCTCCACCTCCCAGGGTCAAGAGATTTTTGTACCTCTGCCTCCCGAGTAGCTGTGATTACAGGAGCATGCCACTATGCCTGGCTCATTTTTAATTATTAGTAGTGGAGATGGGGTTTTGCCATGTTACCCAGGCTGGTCTTGAACTCCTAACCTCAGGTGATCTGCCCACCTTGGCCTCCCAAAGTGCTGGGATTACAGTTGTGAGCCACTGTGTCTGGCCTAATAGTTTACTTTTTTTAAAAATATAAAATTCACATAAAATTCACCATTTGAAAGTGCACAATTCAGTGGTTTCCAATACATTCACAAAGTTATGCAGCCATCATTGCTAATTTCAGAACATTTTCATTACCCCCCAAAACCCCTCAAGCCCATTAGTAGTCACTCTGCATTACTCCTCCCACAAGCTGCTTTCTGTCTGCATGGATTTACCTGTTCTGGACCATTTGATATGAACGCAATCATACCATACGTGGCCTTTGTGTCTGGCTTCTTTCACTTAGCATGGTGTTTTTAAGGTTCACCCATGTTGGAGCATGCAGTATGTTTTGTTTATCCATTCACCAGTTGATGGATATTTGGGTTGTTTCCACTTTTTTACTCTTAAGAATAATGCTGCTATACACATTCCTGTACAAATTTTTGTTTGAAAGCCTGTCTTCTGTTTTCTCGTGTGTATGCCTAGGTGTGGAATTGTCAGGTCATGCAGCTAAATTCTTTACTTTTACTTTTATAACAGATCCAGAGTATGCGTCTGCATACTGATTTAAAAAAACCTCACCTTTTCCATTTAGGTAAATCCATTAAAAAAAAAAATGTTATGTCACTACCATGGATGGGAAAGCAGGCTTACTTGGTGTAAACAGAAAATAACTGTAAAATTAAAACAAAGGAAACAAGTCATG